GTGCAGTTTACTGAGAACGTGGGATTCTCCTAATTGTGCCAATTACTTTCATCAGCTTCCCAGCGAAGAGGGCCTCTCGGTTCAGGGGAGAGCTGGACGATGGGCACGGACCTGGCACCGCCGTCCCAAACGCCTCTGATGCAGCCCCCGGGAAGTGGGAAGAGGGTACTATTTAGAGGGCTCTGGTGTAGGGACTTGGGCCCGCGCGGCACTTCCCTTTGGTTTGGCTCTGTCACATGTCTTCCCGACAGAATTGCTAACGTCAAGGAGCCTGGGCTGCTGGAAAAGACGCCCTCAAGGGGGCCGTCGCTGAAGGGGTGGTGGGAAAGAGGTGGGGATTCTGGTAGTTTCCGCCGGAGGCTCCACTGCGGGAGTGAAGGCTGAAGGGGAACAGACAACCATTCTCGGTTCTGGGAATGTCCATCCTCACACTAAGAAGTGGTTTGAAGGGATGCTGATGTTTATGGCACCACTGGCGGTGGGCTGACCACTGCTTGCACCCACACGGTTTTATGCATTTCGGATATTTCCACCTTCTGGAAAAAAAGATCCCGTAGGATCCTTATAAAATATCTAGATGGCCTTGACGCTGTTTAGATGATGGGAAAGGACTTTGACACACTAAGCTAAGCTTGCTACTGTGTGTAAAATGACAGTGTTTTCCTAACGATATCACCCCTTTGAACGTGAATTTCCTGGGGTGTTGGGAGTAGCACTGGCCCTCTTTTTGGTGTCTGGTGTCTGCTGATGTGAGCTGACCTGAGACTCTTATAGGAAGCAGGTCAGAAAAGAGGAGGCAGATGTCAGGCTCTGGAAGGCAGCCCGTGGTCAGAGCAGGCCAGGAGCCTCGGAGCTGGGGAAGGGGTCCCAGAACTCATGTGGTCTCCCTGTGGGTGGGAACACAGCCTGGCAGGGCATTCATGCATCAGGTTGAGAGCTGGTCACCCTCCACACAGCCCTTCCCTCCTCCAACAGTGAGGCAATGGGACAGGTGGGAAGGAAAGGGGGTGCTGTGGGGCCCGGTGCCCTGGGAAGTGCAGGGGTGGCTCCCTGCTGAGAAGCACTGGGGGGTTCTCAGTGCTCAGCACAGGCTGGGCACACAGACGGTGCTTAATAAATGAACCGAGAAAGGCCTGATGCAAAGGCGTCCCAAGCTAACTTTGCTCTGACAGCTTAGCAAGGACCCTGCAAGCTGGCTCAGGACCATCCCTCCCGTGGTCACATGAACGCGGAGATTCTGCAGGTTCCCCTGAGCCGGGCTCTCTAGTAGGCAGTCCCGTTGCACTTCTCCCCTCTGCCCTTGGCCACACCCGTCTTACAATGCCCTCCATGGGAGCCTGTGCTGAAGGCAACATCGATTTTGTTTCCTTTCTTTTGGAGCGAGTTATTGGTCTCCTGTGTGTGTGATCAAAACTGAATGGGAGATTGGAAAAGATCAAAACAAACAAACCACGGCTGGCCTAGATCAATGGCGGGACCTGGGGACATGTCACTTAGCACGCTGGGAGTTGGAGGCTGCACTGAGCATATGGCTTGGAGTGACTGTGGTCGACGATGCTCTGAGCAGGCCCCCAGTGGCTCCTCTGCCAGCCCCAGTACCCATCTCCCCCACTCCCCTGCCAGGGATCCCTCCTCCTGGGGCTTCTCCCCACACTCTACTTGCCACCAGAGCCTCTTTTCCTGGAGGGCAATCCAGTTAGCAAGCAGAAAATAGATGCCTAATGATCAAAAGCATCCATCAGCACCGCGACAGCTTTGCAAACCCACACCCTGGCTACGCTGTGCAAAGCAAACAGCCGGGGCTTCCAGGAGCCCCAGATCCTAGGCACCTAGAAAAACGATAACCTGACTAGCGCTCCCTACGACAAAGGAAGGGGATATAAAAACAGGAGTCAAGAGGCGTACACGCGAGGCGTTAGATACAGACAGAGCAGTGCAGTCCCGAGGGGCGGTAGATACAGGCAGAGCAGTCCAGTCTGGGGGGGCGGTAGATACAGACAGAGCAGTGCAGTCCTGGGGGGGCCTTAGGACCAGACAGAGCAGTCCAGTCCTGGGGGGCGTTAGGTATAGACAGAGCAGTCCGGTCCTGGGGAGCGTTAGGTTCAGACAGAGCAGTGCAGTCCTGGGGGGCCTTAGGTCCAGACAGAGCAGTCCAGTCCCGGGGGGCGTTACATATAGACAGAGCAGTCCGGTCCTGGGGGGCATTAGATACAGACAGAGCAGTTTGGTCCTGGGGGGCCTTAGGTCCAGACAGAGCAGTCCGGTCCTGGGGGACGTTAGATACAGACAGAGCAGTCCGGTCCTGGGGGGCGTTAGGTCCAGACAGAGCAGTGCCGTCCTGGGGGGCGTTAGGTCCAGACAGAGCAGTGCAGTCCTGGGGGGCCTTAGGTACAGACAGAGCAGTCCGGTCCTGGGGGGCGTTACATATAGACAGAGCAGTCCGGTCCTGGGGGGCGTTACATATAGACAGAGCAGTCCGGTCCTGGGGGGCATTAGATACAGACAGAGCAGTTTGGTCCTGGGGGGCCTTAGGTCCAGACAGAGCAGTCCGGTCCTGGGGGACGTTAGGTCCAGACAGAGCAGTCCGGTCCTGGGGGGCGTTAGGTCCAGACAGAGCAGTGCCGTCCTGGGGGACGTTAGGTACAGACAGAGCAGTCCGGTCCTGGGGGACGTTAGGTACAGACAGAGCAGTGCGGTCCTGGGGGACGTTAGGTCCAGACAGAGCAGTCCGGTCCTGGGGGACGTTAGGTCCAGACAGAGCAGTCCGGTCCTGGGGGACGTTAGGTCCAGACAGAGCAGTGCGGTCCTGGGGTTGCCCTCTGCAGCAGCGAGGTGACTGCTTCCTGCTCACAGATCTCCGCGCCACCAGCGTGGGTGTGTGGGGTGGTTTTCCTGCTCTGCTCAGTGGGGTGGGCCAGATGGCAGGGAGGTGGGAAGGGCACTTATAAGGGGAGGGTGGTGTAAGGGGACTCAGCTTGGAGTGTCAGTGCATGCTACAGACAGGCGCTCCACACTCCCGAGACCCTTCTGCCTCTGGGGGTGAGAACGTGGTCTTGTCATCCATACTGAGATGCCGATGACCCTGATGCTGGAAGGTCCTAGGGAGGACAAACCAGGAAGGGCACACAGACGGCTGCATGAAGGCCCTGTCCTTCCCCCTGCTGTTAAGGGAGCTGATGCATGAAGAGAAGTGCTTTGGACAGAACCTGCACACAGGACCCACTTGCTTTTTTTTTTTTTTGAGACAGAGCCTCGTTCTGTCACCCAGGCTGGAGTGCAGTGGCGCGATCTCGGCTCACTGCAACCTCTGCCTCCTGGGTTCAAGCGATTCTCGTGCCTCAGCCTCCCAAGTAGCTGGGATTACAGGTGCATGCCACCACACCTGGCTAATTTTTGCGTTTTTAGAGAGATGGGGTTTCACCATGTTGGCCAGGAAGGTCTCAAACTCCTGACTTCAGGTGATCTGCCTGCCTTGGCCTCCCAAAGTGCTGGGATTATGGATGTGAGCCACCAAGCCCGGCCATGCTTTCTAAGTGCTGGCCAGCATCACCTTGTTTTTATTTCCGTAGTATGATCATTATCACCAACATCTGTGGCAAGAGCATGTTCCTAATTCTCAACATAAGGGGGGTTTTCCAGCGGGGATGTGGACTAAAAGAGTGGTCAGAGTCTTCATAGCTAATTAAATTGTTAGAAAACTTCCAAGCATCAGCTGTCACGATTTAGAAAATAGGACAGAAAAACGTTCTCCCTGACAAACACCGAACACCAATTGTATCCCAGCTCTGCAGTCTGGCCAGCCCCTCCAGATGGGGACAGGGGCCACTCCCATGGGAGGCCGGGGGATCAAGACACATGCAACAGGCTCTAGCAAGCCTGCCAGTCCCTCTCCTCTCCCCAGCAATCTTCCTGGAAGGAGGGAGTATGCCGGAGGCAGTGCTGCCCATGTTTTAAATAGCAGAGATTTCGTGGAAATGGTAGCAATGGGGAAGGAGGGAGGTAAAGAGATCAGAAATCAGAGGGGAGAGAGCTGAGTCCATCCCTTCCATCAAACCCGCTCCAGATAAAGCTTAGAGGCTATCTCACACTTCAAAGGGCCTTTCTCAGTCGGCCCAGGGCAGAGCTGGGTTGTTTGTTTTTAAATGTTTGTTTTCTAAGTGTCCTGCAAACCCCTGAAAGAAAGGGGGGCTGGGTGAGCAACGCCCACTCTGGCAGCAAGAGCTCAGTTTGCAAATCAAGGGACAGCTTCCCTCCTCCAACGGGAGCCTTCAGAGGGAACTCGCTTTGGAGGGAGGCTACAAACCCATGCTGCCCGGTGTCCAGGGGTCTGGGCCCCAGGGGCCGAGCGGGTCCGGGCCTCACCATCGGTCGGGCAGCCGCCCTCACCTCCCCATTTTTTAAAGGGGCTCTAACGTAAAACCCAGCTCCCCAGATAAAGGGAAATATGGTGCCTGTTTCTCTCTCCTCTTCTGAGGTTTCACCCAGTGGGGAAAAAGCCTGGGAAAAAAGAACATGGCCTCTTTCCTAAATCAAAAGAAACAGGAGTCTCCATCAGCCATGAAAGGAATGGCAAATGAAATACAAATGAGATGTCATTAAAACAAGAAAAGCCTAATGAATTCTTTTCCTGAAGCAGAGGCAAGGACCGGAAAAGACAGGGCTGTGTTTTGGCTCCAGAGAAACGGACTTGGGGCACCAGCCCAGCCCAGCCCAGTGCAGCCCACTGGGGCTGGGGAGGGAGCCTTGAAGGGGTCTGCAGCCATGTAATGGGATACCATCATCCTCATGTCACTCCTCGGCCTACGATCTACGACTCTGGATTAGCACAGAGGCCTGGGTCCCTCCTGAAAGTCTTCCAGAAACAAACGCCCCCAGGCACCAAGCTGCCTGGTCCACAGGCCCTGGAGGGTGGGCGTGGCTTGTAGCCATGTCCGAGGCCCACCAGGTGTCTGAAAGTGCTCTTGCCCAAATGACCTCCTATGGCATAAGGGGACACTCACCCGGTTATCGCCTTCGGGGGCGAGAGGGTCTGTCATCCAGGATCCAAACCTCGAGCCGGAGGTCTTGACAGTCACGGGGTCACTGATGCCCGTCAACTTCCCGCAAGCTGGAAAAGAGCACGCAGGTCAGGAGAGGGAGGGCGGGGGCCCCGGCCCGCGGTGGTCACCCTGACCCTGACTGCCCAGGGCACACGTGCCATGTGGCGGCTTCTCCTCTTGCCCTCGGGGTCTGGGGTGCTGTGGAAAGATGCTCACGACCTTGATTTCACAGACAATTCCCCCCGTCTCGGAAAGGCCACCTCCTCCCCAAAACAGAGCAGCTGTGGCCAGGATAGCAGGGAAAAGCCGTGAGCAGACAGCCGCCCTCCTGCGCTTCACCCCTCCTCAGCCTGCTGCACCCATGGCCTGGGGATGGGGGTGCCGGAGCAGCACCTCTAGGAGAGGGGTCAGCTCTTTCCAAGACTCAATTTTCTTCTCTTGGAAATGGGAACAGCAGCAGCTCCACCCCCAAGGACATTAGACGTCATGCCCTGACAGCCCAGCCCGCATGGGGTACAGTTAGGTGCAGTGCGAGACACTGCATCCAGGCAGGCCCTGTCGCACCACGGAGCAGCAACACCACCAGCGGCCCCGGAACTGACCGGGACAAAGGCCACAGCTGCCTTCCCGCAGAAGGAGCCTGCGCGCTTCTCCCACAGGCCTGAGCCAGTTGCTTCTGCCTGTGGGAGGAGCCCAGGCTGGAGCGCTGGGATTTTGAGCACCAGGGTGGATGGGATCCTGGATGTGACCTCAGCAGCCCTCCGTCTCACAGAGGACCGTGGAGGTGAAGAGGGACACACCCGGGCCACCCGGTGATTCGGGTTAAGGCTGGAGCCCCCCCACACCCCTGAGGGCTCAGGGCGGCTTCCACACCCACTGCACAGGAACACAACTCCTCCTGCCCGGAGGCCGGCGTGTCAGCACAGCTACGCAGCTCTTCCACAACGCACGAGCCTCAGCCGCCCTCTGAAGGGCCCAAATGCTCCTGATTCTAGCAGGGACCCTGGATGGGAAGTGGGTGGTTTCCCCGCAGAGGGTAGAGGAAGGGTCCCTCCGCCGCAAGCCCCTGCACCCTGCCCTGACCCTCCCGGCCAGGCCCGCCTGTGACCTCCTAGGTCTGCGTGACACCCTCGGTGGGCTTGCGCGAGCACATGAGTTCAGAGGCCATCCATGTGCGGGAGAAGACTGCGGGCGAGTGCGTCTGGACCTCGGCTCAGCCAGGATTATCCCGTAGGCAAGCAGGGTGGGGCAGGCTCCAGGCTGGTACCCGGGAGGGCACAGCCCGGCCACTCCCATGCTCAGCGCAGGTCTTGGGGTGCTTCCCACTCTCTCTCAACTGGAAGTGGCGAGTGTGCCTGTTATTGGCATCACACAAGACCAGAAAGAGGAACGTTCCCGGCCCCGCCGGCGTGGAGGTGTCGCCGATACTGTGGGTTGGCGGGAGAGCGTGCATCCAGGCAACAGGGGCTTTCAGAGGGACAAGGAGCCCACCGCCCGCAGAAAAAGACTGGGTTTGTCCCCAGATTCCCATCGAGTCGGGCTGCACTGCTCCGAGGCCCTGGCAACCTGGCTCCCGGCCTGCTGCCTCGGCCCCGATTGGAAGAAGAAATGTCACAGCCCTTCTTTCCCCTCCTCCTCCGTGCTTATTCCCCTGTTCCCACTTTCACGAGGCATTATGTGCTTTCCCAAGTAAATATTGTCCCCTCATGGCTGGAGGCTTTCCGGCAGTGGGGCCCGGTAAGAGGCTGCCAGGGTCTGCTCGGCCGTAGTCCACGTGGGCTCCGGGCCAGGGCCATGCCTCCCATCTGTGGGAGGAGAAGCAGCAGAAGAAAGAGACAGAGAGGAGATGGCCACAGCTGACCGGCGTCTATGGGGACAAGAAGTAAGAAGATGTGGGGGGGTCTGAGAAGTGTCACTAGAGGGTCCTCTTCCAGGAGAGCCCAGCCCAGCTTTTCACCCCAGTGCAACTCGTGGGCGGAGAAGAGGAGCTCAGGGGGCCTTCACTAAGGCCCTGGAGGAGCGTGAGGCAGGAGGTGGGAGGCAGGAGCCATGGCTGGGCTCACCCCTCACCCTCCGGCTGCTGAGGGGCCCTGGGCTTCGGGGGAGACAGCAGCTCCCTCTGCACTGAGAGAAGCCCTTCACAGCCCCTCTCCAGCCCTCCCTGCCATCCAGAGGCCGGTGTCCCCTAAGACAGTGCTGTGGCCCTGGGAACGTCCCGTGAGGGCTCTCCACGCCGTGGTTCTGTTAGTGGTCCGGAAGGAGAAGCCTAGAAGAGCGGCGGCCCCACGCTGGGTTTTCCATCCAGCAGCGCAGGTGGGCTCTGGCCACTTCAGCCTCCTCAGTCAACACGCCGGGCCTTCCGTGACGCTGGCCCACACTAAAGCCCGGAACCACACCCGCAGTAGGCTCGTCCGGGTCGCATGACCTCCCAGAAGGAGACCAGGTGTCTGCCCTCCACCTCGCAGGCAGCCAGCAGAGGCCAGAGGCAGCAAGTCAGTGCCGGGCTCCGTTCCGCCACCTGGCCCGAGCCCCTCCCTGCTGGTTCACGCAGCTTTGTTCCAGCTGTCCCTCCACCTGGCGTGCTGGCCCCAGCCCCGCCTTCCCACCCACCTTCACTGGTTTGCCCCAAAGGGACACCTCTGCCCTAAAGACGTGCCGCTCCTCCACTCTGCCTGGCCTGCCTGTCCTCACGGGAGCCGGAGTCAGCTTCCCACCGTACATCTCCTGGGGCTGCCGAGGAATGTCTGGGTCTTGCCGCCCCAGGGAAGAAACTTCCTGCACTCACCCTGTTTCCTCCAAAACACAGCCTGGGGATTTGTATGGAATGAATGAATGAATGAATGAATGAATGAATGAATGAATGGCTCATTGCTCAGAAAAGCCTCCTAAGTTGAAGGCTTCACTCTCCATCTCAGTGGAGGAGACAGTGAGGAGGGAGGGTGACCCTCTTCCCTGGAGGATGCTCTGTAACCCCCTCTTCTTATCTATAGATGGGGTAATAACAACAGCGAAGGCTGCTGTGAGAATTAGGGCAGGGACCACCAGAGAGCTTTTGAGACAGCACCTGCCACAGAGTCAGAGCTCCACAGAGGTCAGGAGGCATCACTGGGGATTCAGACTGAGGACGTGCGGAGAAGATGAGCCCAGGTCAATGTGGTCTTCACCCCTCCCACTTCATCCCGCAAACCCTGAACCTGGCAGGTCTGCTCTCCAGAAGATGGCTCTGCCCCAGGCCCACCCTGCCCGGGTCAAGGGCTCCCTCCTCCCTCCTGCATGGGCCCCACTGGCTCAGAGCTGAGCATCGCCCTCTCCAGCACCCTCTTTTAAATGCAAAAGTGACCCCTTGAAATGAGCCTTAAAATCCTGGCTTAGCGAGGGCGGGGAAGGGTGAGGCTGGCTCTGCACTCTGCTCTTCCAACTGCTGGCTGCAGGCACAGCTCCCAGGGCCCTCGGGGCTGGAGGCCACCTGCCCTCCTTGAGTCAGGCAGTTATTTTTGGTTCTCCATCCAGACCGCTTCTGCCAAGACCTCAGGAACTGACAGGATCTAAAAAAGCCCATGGCAGAGCCTCAGCAGCATCTTGGCACATCCAGTTCAGGAAAGCGTCCCTCCCCAGTCACGAGCGCTCAGGATGCACGCACAAGGAGGGAAGAGGAGGGGAGAGGCAGGAGAGGGCTGGCTGGGCTTCCTGCACTGCTGGAGGCTCAGGAAATGGCCCAAACGGGCTCTGTCTCCTAGGAAGGCCTAGGCTGGGAGGGCCGGCATGCTCAGCTGGAGGGGCAGGCCGCCCGAGGGCCCCAGACGGGCTCAGAAGGCAGGGCGCTGTGCAAGGCTGGGAGCCTGGACAAGCCGATGCCCCTGTGGATGAGACAGTCTGCCTTTTGCTATTTCCAGAAGGAGACCACTTCTGAGCAGCAGCCTGGATGATCTCATAGAACAGGCCCGGGGAGATGCCCGCTGAGGACCTCAGGCCAGAGACAGAGGGGTCTCTGGGCAACCCCGGAGACAGGCGAGGAGGGCTGAGTGCCCTGAAGCAGGCAGACGGGGTTCCTGGCCTGCCGCCTGTCCTCTGAGTCTATCCTCCTTGGTCCCAGCTTTTATCCCCCGCAATCCGGGAAGACTTAAGCTGGAAAAAGTCTGCAGAGCTGGGAACTCGGACGAAGCAATGTCCAAGATACAGATGAAAGAAGCTGAGAACCATGCAGCATCCCCGCCAGGCCTCGAGATCAGACCCAGGGCCTGGGCTAGGGTGGCCACCGAGAAAAGGGTCACGGCAGACCCTCCTCCTCGCACGGCAGGGAAGGGCGGACCTCCAGGAGACTCTCACTGCCTGTCATCTGGAGAACTTCCTGGGAGAAGCCCCGGCCGCCCGGGGGCCCCACTCAGCCAGTGCTTCTGAGCGGCTTTTTAGATTTCGGTTTATTTCCTCCCCCGTCATTCTAGTGGGTTTTCTTTCGGAATCCACTGGCAAGGGCTTAACTCTCTATCCTTGAACGCACCATGTGTGCCGGGGACAGTGGCTCACTGTCTAGCTCCACTCAGGGCCGGGGGAGGAGGAGACAGACGCTCTCTCTGCCTGGCTGACCCCTTCTCACTTCTCAGGGTCAGGGAACAAGAGGGAGGCTTCGGATTCCTCTCCCCCAGGACAGAGTGTAGAACATGGTGCCAGAGCCAAGCACCATGCCGACAGCCCAGGCTGGAATGCGGGCCTGCAACTGGACTTGCATCAACCTAGATACCCAGGCAGGCCCAGCTCCCAGCGGCTGGCAGGGGACTCTGACGCGGGAACCACTGGGCTTTGTTAAGATGCGTTCCAGTGAAACCAAAAGACCCGATTGACCCTGAAGCCCGGGCTCTGTCTGTGCTTATGGGTGTCTGGGGGCTTCCTCCTTACCCTTGGGGGAAAAATAAAGAAACGAAGGAAGCCTTTAGCACCAGAGTGCCAGGATGGTATATCTGGGAGGAGCCCTTCCAATCAGCTGGCCCCCTCATTTATAGAGAGGACTGCGAGGCCTGAAGCTGACACATCCTGGGAGCTCCATGGGTAGAGCTGTGTCGTGCACTGACCC